AGCCACTGGAGCGGAAAGACTGCTCGAGATGGGAGAGATGTAGATAACGCAGTGGAGAACAAACTTCAATTTTCCGTTGCTTGTTTGAACGCCCATGTTCCCCATGGTTTGCGAATCAGTGAGGATTCAGACTTCCACTCGGCCGGTGTAGGTTTTAGACATGCAGAATTTTAAATATATTGTTTTATTTTTTAATTGGAAAAGGAAGCTCTATTATCATACATGCATATGCATTAGTACTGCGTATTTCCTGACTCCGCCGCGCCTCCTAGATTGGCAAAACAGATCTTCGGCTTGATTTTCCTTTTCTTTTTCCACTCTTTTGAATATGATTTACGTCGCATATTTGTTTTGAACCCTTTATATGCGCGCGCGCCCGTGTGTGCGTGCGTGTGTGCATTTATTCAGTCTCTGTTGGCCGTTTGTTGCTTTAGTTTGGCTGCATGTCAGCACACCTGCACCCATGTCTGCGGAGAGGAGGAGGAGGAGGGGGTAGATGGATAGAGAAATAGAGGCAGAGGAGCGGAGTGGATGGGGAGGGGGGGTATACTCATCCTTCTTTGTCATGATTTGGGAGGCTGCTTGTCATTTTTATGGAAATACAATTGAGACAAACTCAGTTGAGGGGCTGCGTGTGAATGATCTCTCAGGCCTGACAGGCCAGAGCAGGGCCTGGGAAACTCTGAAAGGATTCCAGTTTTATATATATACAGTATATATTTATATGCTTTTTAGTTTGCACATTTTAGCCATTTTAATCCGTAAATGTGCAGCTTTGCTCAGAAAAAAAACGAAACGTCATGTGGCGACTGAGATGGTGCAGAAGCTGTTGCTATAATTATTTTATCAATTAATGCGGGTCCGGTTTTAGCCAGTTTCTGACTGTGTCTGCTGCAAATGCTCGGCTTCTTCTTATCAAACAGATTTTTGTCTTTTTTTTTTCTTTTTTTTTCTCTCCTGCTTGGATGCAAACCACTTTGCCACCTGAATGCTGTGTCTTAACCACAATTTTTGTTTGGCGCATTTGATGCGTAAAACTCCACATTTGACGTGCGATTTTGATTAGATTTTACTTCTGCTCTTTCCTCCTTGAATTTCGTTTTTAGTCTTAACTTTGACCTGAAGTTTGGTTTCCTGATCTGCTGGAAGATCACGTTCTAATTCCTTTAAATCGATGGATTTTGGTGCATTTAAAATACATATATATATATATTGTGTGTGTGTGTTCTATCTGAGTCACTGGTCTGTGCGTAAATTTGGACACAAAATATTTTCAGAGCAAAGATTTGGTTGAAGGTGGGAGAAGAAGGCAGAAGGAGGGGTGGGGGGCAGTAACTGCGGTATGAGTCAGACTCTGGTGGCTGGGCTCCAGCCGCATGACGGCAAATGTTTATTCAGGTTGTTGCAGACCGAACTTATTTATATAAAGAAGAAGAACAACAACAAAAGAAATGTGTTAGACATTACAAAATACAAATCTGGTTCAATTCATTCGGGGTGGTGCCGCGTGCAGGAATAAAGGATGAATACGCTAAATTATTTTTTATTCCATATTAAAGTCTGTTTTAATCAAACATAACTGAGGCTTTATTTCATAGGCCTACATAGGTTTTTATGTTCTTGATTAATCATCAGACCGTAACTGAGGTTTATTTTTTTCTGAAGCGCAATATCACCAAAGTCAAAGTTGGCAGGAGCGCTGCATGACCAAGAAGTTCTCTCTGCGAGACGCAGCTCTCTTGTTACTCAGAATTGTTTCCTTCCGTTGAGCAAAACCAAAAACACTGTTACAAAATGTTTCAGTTCAAACGTGTGACGAAAGTCGGTCGGTCTCATTCTGTCCGAACATTTTGTTTATTTTCAGACACGTTTTCTTCATTGGTCAMTTGGCGCGAAAAGGCTGCCATCAGTTTTGCCTTAAAAGGCAGAAAAATATCAAACAAATCCAAATACAATACAATAACAGGCAATAAAACAACATAAAAAAGTTAAACTCAGACATCACGCGGAGGAGGCTTTTGACAGTACTCAACAGGTTTTAGGAGCAMCGGCGGAGCCGCGTGTGCGCGCTCCTTTACGCACGGAGACACCGCTGGACGGCAACCATCAGTTAAATCAATCCACAATCTGTTTTTTTCAAAACCCCTTCCTCTGTCCTGTTCTGCCAACTGTCAAAACAGTTTATAGCCCTGTCAAAGTGGGAGGGCGGTGTGGAGATGGAGTGGAGGTGGGGCGCATGCAATTCTTGATACTCAGCTGTGGAAGATCACGTGCTGAAATGGCTGCCGTTTTTTTTTTACTGACACAGCGCAAATTGTACAAAGTTGTTTACCACCACCTACAACCTCCCCTTGTAGCGTATGAGTGTATAATAATGACTGACTTTTTTTTAATTATTTTATGATTTGCCTTTCTCATCACAGCAAAACCAGAAACACAAAACTAACTCCAGAAACAAAGATTGTGCAGACGTGTTGGAGCTACACACCAAAGCTTATTTGATATCCATAACACTGATGTGGTTTTTAGTAATTGCTTGGGGGTTTGAAGGTCAGTTGGTTGTGGTGGCCAACTTAACTCAGTGCCTGCTGTACAGTGGCATAGGCAGGATAGGCAAACACTAAGGGCACCATCCATCTAGGGGGCGCCAAAAACGGGGGATGGAATAAAATATATTTTTTACTTTTTATCGAAGTATAGCTTTAGGATAATCACTGGTATGTTTATGAAAGGTAATGTTTTGCTTTGTTTCTATGAGGTGCGTGTTGTTAGCAATTTTAATTGAACAATCTGGTTTCTAAGGATAAAAACTGTTAAAGACAAAACTATTTCATTTTATATAAGTTTGCAGTGAGATTTACAAAACTGTACAAGGAGTGCCATCTGAAATCTTGCCTAGAGTGCCAAATTGGCCAGGCCCTGGCTGTAGATTCAGTTATTACTTTCTGAGAGTTTCATTCAAAACTGTTCAATGGTTTGTGAGACATTTTGCTAACAGACAGACAGACAGATAGGCATAAGCTTTATTGTCCACTATCACCTTTTGATGGCAGGTGATAATAAGCATCCTATTATCATTTATGATCATCTCTCATCTCATTTTTAATGCTGTGTTAATTTTGTGCAGCATCACCACAAAGGGCTGTATCACCACTGCAGCTGTTGTTTGCTCTGAATGGGGCTTGTGTTCTTTTATCTGTGGAGCTACATGATTTGCCACATGCAGAATGGACTTGCTGTTAAGAGCCCATAAGTGAAATCTGAAACGCATTTATGTGACTTTGTCCGTGCCTGTTTGAAGGCGAGGAAGAGTCAGAGAGGGGAGGGACGAAGAGGGATTTATAGTCCTGTTTTTCTATGCACATGTTGGCGATTGTGTGTATCTCAATGTGTGTGTGTGTGTGTGTGCGTGCGTGTGCGTGCATGTGTGTGTGTGTGTGTGTGTGTGTGTGTGTGTGTGTGTGTGTGAATGAATCTCGATGAGACGGAAAAAGCTGCATTATGCATAGAGGTTCACCATAGGCAATATCCTTGCTTCTTCAGCATACATATTCATTCTCCATTTTCATGTCCTCTGTGAAAACAGGAAAAAAGTGCAAATGTATTGGAGTGTATATAGCAAATAAATATTTGAGTCAAAAACAAACAGCAAGGAAAAAAAAAGTAAAGGTTTCACCTAACAGAAAATGTGTTTCTGGATGTTTCATCGCTTTGACCTTCTTCATTGTAATCAGTGTGTTTGGGCTTGGAGAAGGGAATCAAAATACACTTCATGAATGAATGAGTGCTGCTCCTTTGCGTCTTATTAGTCTGCTGGAGAAGAGGTAGGAAAAAAAAAGCCTGGGGCGATGAAAGGGCTTTGGTAACATCTGAGGTTAGATGTTATTAAATAAATAAAAATAACTTATATTAATAGGGTGATTGTGGTTCACATTTTAATATGATGCTTTGTCTAAATTATTCTTAAATGAACCAAATAGATACAGTTTCCCTAATAATTGTTCTTTTACATCCATACTTTATTTATTCACGTTTTACCACTTGAGTAGTTAAAAGTGACAGCTGACAGTTACACCACCCAGTTGTCCAACAAATATATATATATATATATATATATACAAAGTAGCCTTAACTTTTCATTTCTTAATTGTTTTTTATGTTTTGAATTAATTTCTTAAACCTTTCCTATCATAAGAAATGCAGTCCATGTGTTTTGTCATCTAGATCTACTAAACTTGGTTGTTTAAATGCAAAAAGGAGTAATTATTTGGTGGATGGCCAGAAATCAAAGGATTTGTGAGTCAAAAACACATGGAGCAAAAAGTTCAATAAAAATATGTCACAAGCAATGACTCAGTATGGAAAGCACAGTGGGACAGTAAAAGAACTAATATTTTTTTGAGCAAAATGCAATTTCATATATTTTAGTTGCTTTAATTCATTGTAAATCTATAAATTTTGACAAAACATTTAATTTCAACCACATTTAAATGTTTTAGACTGAGTCTAATCTGTGAACTGTGGACCAGAATGTATTTGCTGACACGTGACCTTTGGAAGTGTTAAAAACTCAGTGACCTGAATTCTTGTCACATTACAAAGTGATCAACAATCACTTCATAGGTTGTTGCATTTGAATGTTTAAGTTAGCTGAATATACTTTATGCTTATGATCAAAGCTAACAAACATTTGCTCTGACTTTCAACTGACAAGTCAAATTTTATTGATTTTCAAAACAAAACTGAGATTTTTTTCAGTACTACACACTTTTGATCTTTTGAAAGTTTCAACATCTAAAAAGGGGAAAAGGGGAGGCTAAGTAAAGTTTCAGGCCATATTTAGGGAGCCAAATGAAGGGAAACCACATGCTTTGATAAGAACTGCATAAACTTTAAGTCCATATCAACCTGCATGAGATTAGAAAATGATGTAAATCTTGCCTCATTCAGGGTTCAGAACAAGACTGAAGGAACTCCAACATAAAATCTCCAGTTTTATGTGCAGAAACAGTTTGGCTGGGGAGCCTACATGTTAAAACGAGTGTGTGAGACTAAARGATAAAAGTATATAGCTGCAGTTGCACATTTAAGGTAGTATAAACATTTCCATTAGGACGATCCCAACCTCAGAGGATTGAGAAGTGATTTTCAGGTCCAGTTGTCAGGAATGTTTAATGTATATTTAAAAAGAAAAACAAGCAATCAGATGATACATTACTCCCTTCGGTCTAGTTAATTTTAATTCTTCTTGTTATGAAAGAGATCTGAGTCAAAAATAGCAGTCGACACCAGAGAAGCAGGTCACTGTCATCGATATGATCAGGTAATGGTTTCCTACTTATTTGCTCACTATATACATGTTTGTGAGTGTGTGTGTGTTGCTCAGCAGCAGTGTGTGTTGTTCAGCAGCAGTGTGTTGTTCAGCAGCAGCGTGTGTGTGTTGCTCAGCTGCAGCATGTGGTGCTCTCCGTGGTGCTGAAAGTGCAGATCAGTCAGCCTCGCAGCTTTGAAAATGATTGACATTGAATCAAACAGCACAATGGATTGAACTTGACCTAAATTCCTACTTTTTTCTCTTTTTTTAGCAGAGTGTCTGTTACGATGCTGTCTGTGAAACCCGTTGCCATCCACAGTGTGCTTGTGCAGACAAACATTTACGTCACAAGCCTACATTTTACTCAGTTTAAGAAATATCATTTTAAAATTTGGTGTGGTTGTAGCTGAGTGTCATTTACAACATATAGTTAAAGTGCTACATGTTACTGGAGATCTTTGCTTAAACCTTAAGCAAAGACGTTGAACTGAACCGTATTTGTCTGTTAGCAAAATATCTCACAAACCACTGGATAAATTTGAATTAATTTTTCAATAAGTAATCATTGGGCTTATCTCTATAACTCATTACTGTTTGAAGTCTATCCAATTAAAAATAGCCACCACAGCTAATCAGCTTCAGAAAACACAAAAATGGTTACAATGTCAGTTTTATAGGTACTGAGCTAAAAATGAATGTGGTCTTGGAGTCATCCCTGATAAATACAATAATCACAAGACATCATCCTTATAGTATTTATAAAAATATAGTTATCTAATAAATACTATAAGGATGACATCTTGTGATTTTACATGATTTACAAAGTTTATACAAAACAACTATAAAGCTATCATTTATTAGCATATGTTTGTCTAAAACTCTTCTTTAAGGGGTGGCATTCATGAAAGAAGATTGTAAAACATTCCAACTATATTTTCTGTCTGTGAAGCAGCTGGAAAAGACACAAGCCGCTGTGCTTGAGTCCAGAAGGGTTATCAGGGAAAGATGAAGGTATGATGAGAACCTGTGAGGAAAAGATGAGTGACTGAGATCAGATAGGTGCATGAAGTGGCAGACAACAGGGGAGAATGGATATCACCCTTGTGTCAGTTTGAGGCATTATGTCTTATCTCTAATCTCTTTAGTTTCTCCACAAAGAGTCTTTTCTTATTGGATTCATCCCATATGTGTCATGTTCTAAATATTATATCCTTACAATTCATGCTGAACTGAACAGATGTAAAGAATTTGGTTAAAATTAATCGATTTGCTTTTGTTCTTGCTTTGTACTCAGAATACAGGCAAGTATTATTAATTTTCAATATATATAATCTGCAAAGAAATCCAAATCAAATGTCTTTTGATGGTGTTGTTATACCTCCATTGATGGCTGAAAGCCTCTATTCATTCAGTGTGCAGGGAATTAAATAGATAGAGGCTAATCCAGGCATTGTTGACATGATTCTGGGGGAAAAAAAGGGAATTAATTAAGTATCAATGTCTGAGAAGTAAATTCTCTGGCTCGGGGCAGAGCATCTTCCTCTGGCCCCCAGCCAAGCTGAGCTCAGCACTTCTTTATGCTTCTCAATGCCCACCCCCCGCCCCAATCCCAGCAAGCGCACACAGGAAACACACAGGTCTTATAGGATGCCTGAATATCCCACTTTAGGTTGTGAAAAGAACATTTATTTTCCCTTTAGGACAACTTACAGTGCATAGCAGCAATTCTTCATCAGTTCCACAGCAGCAAATACACATGATATTCTTTTCCTTGGGTTCTCACAACAACAGATAGAGGCCTTTGAAAACCTCAGCTGGAGCAATATTGCTGCCCAATATTGCAAGTGATTGGGCAAAATGTTATTTTTAAAGTTTCTGTTATTTAAGACGATTTCAGATTAAAATTAAATGAACATTGATGGGAAGAACGGAATGCATATTGCCTTTAATTTGCAGTATTAATTCATTTATTTGTCAAACAGGAAGTACTTATTGATAAAAGTGAAATGTTGATACCATTTTTGGATGCAAAGTAAAACTCTGAATAGATTAATCTACTTTGAAAAGTATGCCTGATAATAAATAAAACTACTTTGACAAATTAGCAGTTTTTTTTAGGTTGGCTTAAAATATCACCACAGTTCTTTGTAGGCTATAAGCTTCATTTCAGATGGGTTTGTTGTAAATGATCTGTTTCATTGAGTTCTTTTKAAACATTACTCTTTTTGGTAACAGAAAAAAAGGCAGCTCACTAGGAGAGCATGTCTTTGTCCTTACAGTTGTGAGGCTGTATTGATTCGCTTTCGAAGATGTATTTCAAGTGGGAACTTCAAAAAGTGGATACGAGCTTAAAGCTTCAAAGTCTGAATAACTGTACTTGTTAACACAATTTGTTTATAAGACATTTATTAGACAAGTGCTGAAATATTCATGTTTTTATCATTTCAAAAATGCAGAATTMRAGTTTTTTCTGTTGTGTGGTTTTCATTTGGAAGGTATGTTTTTTTTACTTTTTTTTGTTAAATGATGTTACCTCTGACTCCCCTTCCCTTCTCTGTCATCCCAACAGTCAACAGTGAGGATGTTGTCTCTACGCGGCTGTACTTTGTGAATGCCTCCCTGCAGCGAGTGACCTTCTCCAGCTCGGTGGGGGTGTCCCTGCCCTGCCCCGCGGGCGGCGCCCCCCACGCCGTCCTGCGCTGGTACCTGGCCGCCGGAGACGACATTTACGACGTGCCCCATATCCGCCACGTGCATGCCAACGGCACCCTTCAGCTCTACCCCTTCTCCCCGTCCGCCTATAACAGCATCATCCACGACAACGAGTACTTCTGCACTGCTGAGAATCAGGCGGGCAAGATTCGAAGCCCCAGCATCCACGTTAAAGCAGGTGGGGTTTACACTCGCTRCATGTTGACTCAAGAGACCAAAGTTTCTGATTTACCACATTTACCTGAAAGTGTTTTTATTTGTTCAACTTATCTTTGCTTTGTCAGAATCTTCACTTAGTTTTCATCAATCGGGACATGAAGCCAGAATAATTGTTTAGGTGTCCCTTTGACAAGCAGTAAAACACCGGCATTTCATTTTGTTCCTGCCTGTTGGGAAGCAGACATCAGTGTTTCTAACACAACTTTTGAAACTTAAGCTAGCAATCTGTAAAACTGATACATTTGTTGCCATGCATCAGTTGTGCCTGACAAAGTCTTTAAAGCAAAGGCTGTTAAATATTACAGGAATATTGGAGATTTTTTTATAATGGAGCCAGACCTTCTTGTAATCTCTTAAAGCAGTATTTGTTTTTTTTTTTCAGGGAATATTTCAAAGTTATTGCCTCTACATTACCAATTTGCAATTTCACTATTTGTTAACGTTTTAAATAATATCATTATGTTCTGTAAAATGGTTGGAAGACTTGTTTTTATCTGTTTTCTCAAAATAAGAAAATTTCCTCTGGAATTTTTTTTCTGAATTATGTATATTTGAATCAAACGTTTGAAGACATTGAAAAACGTTGATCCACGTTGAAAAACACAACAACTGCATTTCTTCAGACCAAGTCAGAGCCATGGAAGACACTGTGTCTGTTCATGTTGTTTTAATGCAACAGACAGATCAGTTCCTGTTCTGCTCTGAGAGATTCAACTCATGATTTCTCAGAAAAAAAACTCCCAGTCATTGCCTGTCCTTTTCTTTCTAAAAACGTCTCAAAAACATTTAAATGAAATGTGAAGTGCATTTAACAATCAATAAAAATATCTTTCAACATGATACAACTTTTCAATAAAACACATCTAAGTTAAGGATCAGTCAAAAACATACTTTTTTTAGTTTCTGTGCATTGTTAAACTCTAAAATATACTGAATACAATACCAGAAAAAGAGATGCAACCCATATTTGCAATATGGGTTGCAATTATATATATATATATATATAT